AATTATAAAAGTAATGATAATTATAATAAATAATAATAATGATAATACAGTGGGAAGTCTGAGAGCATAACCACTAGGCCTCCGATGCCACAATTGGGGAGCTAATGCACATCCACAAACACTCCGATAAAATCGGAGCTCTCCTAAATTTTATTTTGCCCCTGGGGGAACTCAGATTGGATTTGCGTAAAATCAGATTATTTGGTCTTGTATTAATATGCAATTTGTTGTAAATTCCGTGAAATTACACATTTAATTTTTATTTACATATTTGCAGCCTTTGCCCCATTTCTCATAAATGACAGGAAAATACACATTTGCACTTTCTATGCAGGAGTATGTGGTTAGGGTATGTTGTTTTTGTCACACACAACACAATAGTGTGTGAGTAACCTGTTTTGTTGTGCATGTGAGAAACATGTGTTCTCTTATCTTGTGGAATTAACATGCACCACTAAAGACAGTGAAAATAAAAGAAAAGCAACAGAAATGTGGTTTCTTAGGAGACTGCTGAGAATATCGCGAAAGGAAAAGAAATCAAATGAGGTAGTGCTTGATGAAGCCCACGTGGGACGCTCACTGTTAAAAACAATCAGAAAACGAGAAATGCAGTTTTTGGGACACTGAATAGACATAAGGGTCTTGAACATCTAGTTCGCACTGGTAAAATTGAAAGCAAACGAGGCAGGTGTAGGCCCAGAACAATCTTCTTGGGGAACCTAAACAAATGGGTAACAGGGAAAGATCAGGGAGATGTAGCTCTTTTAAGAGCATCCAAGAAAAAGAATGAATTGAGAATTTTGTTCGCGGATGTCTGTCACAGATCTGGCTCTGGATGAATGAATGATTAATATGTGTTGTTTTGTGGCACACAGGAATGTGTGAGCAACAACCGCAGCGTGGTCTACGACCTCATCGCCAGCCACGGAGACGTGGAGGACCTCGTCTTCTTCGCTGTCCTCATGAAAGGTGAGCTTGCTGCTACGTAGACTGGTCAAATCCTTATGGGTGGTTGGAGGGTGTTGCTGGTGGTTTCTCTCAAATAGATAGTGTAATGGGTTTATTGTGTAATTGAAAGAAATGTGTCAACTCTTTTTTTTTTTCTTTCTGAAGTGGCTATGCGTACGGCCCTCCACTTCACATAATAAGCTAGGCTTTGTAGGCGGCACATAAGCTGTCAAACCGGACACTACAAGTGGACAAACTTAACCCTGGAAGTGCCCTATATATAGGGCTGACCTACTTTGACCGGGAAGCGCGCAGGCCCTATATAAAGGGCATAGACGCTGTCGTTTTTCAATAGAAAATTTCCGTATTCCTTATGTGGAAAATGACGTAGTAAATTGGTAATTTTTAGGAGGTATGTTTTCAACACTGTTTTCATCAAATTATATATTTTTAGGAGGTGTGTTATCTCTACTTTTTCACATTTTCCTTGTTCCTTGACTTGTTCTTTCTACCGTTCCGCACAGACTTTGAGAGGGTCATAGGTCACCACATTCAGCACGAGAACTACCGGGGAGCTCTGGATGTCCTTACAAAACAGGTGATGTGACTTTATGTTTTGTTTCAGAATAAGACATTGGAACATTTTTATGATAAAGTGAATATTCCAAGGTTGTGAACTGCAATGCTACATTAATACCTGCTTTACTATATTCGTCCTCTTGTATTTCCTAGGGGAGAGACGTACCCTATAAAGTTGGTTGGAAGCAGTGCCTGGGGGTGCTTTGCTCAATTAATTAACTCTACAACTACAACTCTGTGCTCTTTTTATGTGTGTAGAGTGAGGTAGACCTCTGCTACAAGTTCAGTACTGTATGTATGTGTGTTTGTATATATGTATGTGTGTGTATTCTGTCTCCGCAGAGTGATGTGATGGGTGATTGGCAGGTGCTCTGGTGTGGTTTGCTCCTTCTGTCCTATCAAACATCTATCGTCCTGATCTTCCCTCCTTTTTTATGTTTGTTACTCTCTTGTGACACCTCTGATCTTCTGGCGCTCATATGACGTTATGCAGTTGCGAGTGCCGTAAAACTAAAGAGTGATGTGGAACTCTACTACAAGTTCAGTACTGTATGTATGTATGTATGTATGTGTGTGTGTGTGTGTGTATGTGTGTGTGTGTGTGTGTGTGTGTGTGTGTGTGTGTGTGTGTGTGTGTATTATGTATGTATGTATGCATGAATGTATGTATGTGTATATGTGTGTGTGTATTCTGTCTCCACAGAGTGACGTGGAGCTCTACTACAAGTTCAGCCCCCTGCTGGTGCAGTACGTGCCCAAAGAGACGGTGGACGCGTGGCTGCGTCAGGGGAAGCAACTGGACCCCAAACGACTCATCCCGGCGCTGGTTCAGTACGACCACCCCAGCTACAAGGATCAGGTGAGGGGAGATGTTTGCTTTGTAGTGGGTGCGCGGTGGGGGAGATGTTTGTTTTGTAGTGGGGGGGGTGCAGGGTGTGAGAGATGTTTGCTTTGTAGTGGGTGCAGGGTGTGAGTGATGTTTGCTTTGTAGTGGGTGCAGGGTGTGAGTGATGTTTGCTTTGTAGTGGGTGCAGGGTGTGAGAGATGTTTGCTTTGTAGTGGGTGCACAATGGGGAGATGTTTGTTTTGTTGTAGTGGGTGTACAATGGCCTAGTGGTTAAGCTCTCAGACTCGCAACCGTAAAGTCGTGGGTTCGAATCCCTTTCAGGGGCCAGAGGTTGCGTCTATGGGAAAAGCACTTTACACGAATTTTCCTCACTTCACCCAGATGGGAATGGGTACCCAGCTATAGACAGTGAAAGATCTTGTCAGTTTGTGATTGTTTGAACGCTTAATCAGCTGCTTGCACTGTATGCTTCCCGGGAAGCTGAGAATGTTTCGGAGTGTTTTTTTGGTCTGCTGGGGTAATAAAATAGTGTAAAACGCATAGAGCCTGCTTTTGAGTGAGGGTATGCGCTGTACAAATACTATTTATTCATTATTATTAGTAGTAGTAGTTGCACGGTGGGGTAGATGTTTGCTTTGTAGTGGATGCTCGATTGGTCCTTAACTCTACTTTCAATCGGGTTCGCCACTTAAGTGGTGTTTTGGGGGTACCGATCCCTCAACTCCAAGATCTACACCTGGTCTTGTTCTTCATTTATTACTTGTTTTCTCCCATTCTGTGATTCTTTGTTTAATTACAAATGTGAGGCAGCGTGGTGGAATCAGGCTCTCGTCAAAATAATCAAAATGAAGAAACTTGCATTTTTCCACAGGTTTGTGAATTTTTATTAATTTTTTGTTTTTTGGCTCAACACCTTTCATGCCCATTAAAAAACTCTTTTCTCTGTGGATTTTTCTGAAAAACATTGATTAAAGACACAGAAAATGTAAATTTTTAAATACCACGGACTCTTAAGCTAAGGAAATAACTAACCTTTAGTCGCCATTTTCTCACTAATTTTACTTCTGAAAACAGGTGACCCTCACCTCCTTCTTTCGTAAATATCTCAACTTGTATTCAAGATAAATGGATACTTTTTTCATCCAAATAAAGACAAGTGAACAAACTTTAAGATGATACTAATAACTCTACATGCCCAAAAATTGACGAGAGTCTGATTCCACCACGCTGCCTCACAAATAGTTTGAGATTTCCCACGAACAAATCCATCTGTATTTGACTGAATCATAGCTGGTTAATGGTAACACCCTTGGTCGCTGGGTGTGTAAAATTCTGGAATCCCTAGTTAAGACATCCATCCTTAATCTTCCAATTTAGAACACATGTGCCCCTCAATCAACATCTCAACCGAATTGGAGTCTGCTGCCTACCCACTATGTGACTACCCCTCAGAGACAGTGGAACATCATCTGTTCTTCTGTAGAAAACTAACCGATCTGAGGGGATGTTTTCTTCCCAAGCTACCCCACACATCTAACTGCCTCTACTCCTCAAGACAACAATTAGAACAGACATGCAGCTATTACAGAATGGCATCATGCAGAAGAGTTAACGCTCAGACGCTCAGATGCTACTGGATCGCCAACAATTACACCAACGACTGCTTAGTGAAAGACTCGGCCAGAGGCCATTTTGAAAAAGTGATTTATGACAGAGTTATACATTGAGCCGTCGAAATGTTGTCTGCTTCTTTTTGTCTTTGTGGTTTATTTTAGTATTTCGTGATCTTCAAGCTTCATCATCATCATCATCATCATCATCGTCGTCATCCATGTTTAAAAATCAGAATCAGAGTAGGTGGGGAGAGTTGGCCGTCTTGTTATTTCCTTCACCCCGCTTTTCGTATTTTGTTTTTTAATTTATACATTTTTTTTCTCTTTGTTTTTTAGGGCAATGAGGCAATTCGGTACCTTGAGTTCTGTGTTGCCAAGTTGGAAAACAAGGACCTGGCGATTCACAACTACCTGCTGTCGCTGTACGCTCGACTGCAGCCGGACAATCTCATGACCTACTTACACCTGCAGGGAGAGGTAAAAAGCGAAGCTCACCTAGAGTAAAGTAAATTAGGATTGGCCGCTAACAGTTGCCCCCC